GGGGGGGGGGGGGAGTAAGTTAATGGAAAGCTAATGAAAACAAGGTTATTCAAAGCCAAAGCAATTTATTTAAAGAAAAAAAGCAGATTAGCATGGAAAGCTGACTAAGCCAGCACAAACCTCTCGTCTGAGTAGCCCTGTTTAAATTCCAGGTTTTAAAATTTTGTCTCTAGAGTTATATTCCAGTTGTTCCTTAAGAAAAGTTAAGGTACTCATCAAAATATGAGCTGCGATTAAATCTGCTGGGCCAGTAAAAAGAATAGTTTGTTGTGATTGAAGATGTTTTTTGCATGTTATCTCTTTTCTTACTGTATTGTCCGATTAATGGGAGAGTTTGTGTCTAGGGAACAGAAACTTCAGTGTTAGAAGGCTTTGACTTTTTATTTTTGCATGGCTCGATGTGTTTAGCATTTGGAAGGCTACTGGGGATTTTTCTGAAAGCCTTGGCTTGCCTTTCATTCATTTCTATCTAAAATGAAATTTCATCTCTAACTTGGCTAGTCCTTCCTTGGGGCTTTTAGCAGTTTTATCTAGAATGGAATTGTGTTCTCATTTATCTCACTTAGAATGTCTTGATTTTATCTGTAAGTAGGTAGCAAGTATATTGGTATTTTGTCTGGTTAGTACATTTGGCGGAACTACCTTGGCAGTTAAATTTAAAAAGAAAGCAAAACCATCAGGCAACTGTTTCATGTAACTGTTGCAAATAGCTTTTATCTTTTTCTTTCAAGGTTTCCCAAGAGGTGAAAATGTGTAATAGTAAATGCTCTGTGACCTTACCTAACAGCTGCTTTTGATTCTTGCTTCTTTATGTTATGGTCCTTAATATATTTTAATTCTAAAATTTTAGTGGCATTATGTATGTAGAATGCTCTATGTCAAAATAGCCCTGTAAAATAAAAACTGTAGACATTTATTTTCTTGACTTTAAAAGAAAATTATTGTCAAAATTATGAAAAAAGAATGTAGAATCTCAGCAATGTAAGCAGTAGTTACTGGCTTTAATTTTTTGTGGCATTTGTGCACATAGGATTTGCAATCAGGATACAGCTTTGCTTCTTGCATTTTGTTGGTGTACCATATTTAACTAGCTGTTCCCTTAGAGTTTAGATATTTTTAATGGTTTTCAGTTTTTTACCATTTTATGACACTAATGATAATCTTCATAATCCCAAGAGTGGAATTACTGGGTCTTTAACATGTAATTACAGGGTCTTTAAATACTCTTTAAGCATATAATTTTATGGTCCTAGAGATGCATTTGTAGACAATTTATTTTTAAAATTTTTTAATTAGTATTTTTAAGTTAATTGATTATTTATTTTCAGCTGTGTTGGGTCTTTGATGTTGCATGCGAGCTTTCTCTAGTTGCCGGGAGTGGGGGCTACTCTTCGTTGCAGTGTGCGGGTGGCTTCAGTAGTTGTGGCTCACGGGCTTAGTTGCTCCACGGCATGTGGGATCTTCCCGGACCAGGGCTTGAACCCATGTCCCCTGCAATGGCAGGTGGATTCTTAACCACTGTGCCACCAGGGAAGTCCTATAGACTGTTGAAAAGTAGTGGTTTTATACTACCACTAGCAATATTTTAGAGTACTAGTTTCATAACATCTTTAATAGGGGGACTGATTTTAATATTTATTAGTTTAATAGAGTTAGATGATAACTTCCACTGTATATTTTAATATTCCACAGTTTTGAAAAACTTAGGCTGGGTTAATTTAAAACCAGTGGTTTCCTTAGAAAGCTGGGAATTTTGGAGAAATAGGGGAAGTTAAATGTATTGAAACGTTCGTCATTTCCCTCTTTATCCATTTGAGTTTCCTTCCTGTCTCTCACACTTGATTGTTATTCTGTATCACCTTCCAGTCTTGGTATGAGAGCTGCCTTGATAGTTCTACCTTTGGATAAAAATGAATTTGCATTTTTTGGTGTCTTGGTCTTTGAGATTGGGAGTATGACTGTCGCTGGAGGCACATCATTCATCCTACTTTGAAATGTTTCTTAGCCTATGAAGATAAAAACTATAAAAGAAATAAGCTATCTACAACTTAACGTGGGAGAAGGTTTCTATAGTATTCAGCTTCAGAGGCAAAATGGGTTATTAGAGATTTGTTGTGTAACTATCTGTATTTATCCTGTTCAGTATTTTATTTTCTGAAAATTTATTCTAGGTGACATACTTACAGGCACATTCTTTTAATGCATCCTTTAGTTAGACTGTGAAATTGGAGCTTTCTAATAGTCATAACCAAATGAGTGAAAGGAAGGCCTTTGAATATTATGTGCCTCTAGTTTGAGTGTATATGTACTCTGGGAGAGGGGTTCAGGGTTTCATTTTTGTACATTTCTGCAGTGAAGTTTATACCAACCCAGCCACAGAGCTTGGTCCCAATTAGCGTCCAGCCTGCTTTGAAAGACACGTTGGACATAAAGGAGGCAAGTTCCTCTTCCCCCACTGACGATCCCAAAGCTGGCATCTGCTCCTTTTGGTTTGAATTTTAGTGGAATAAAATCTACTGAGATTAAAGCTACCTGAGACTGAGAGTGAAAATAAATGGTAGGCTGTTTTTTAAATAATCCTGGAGTGGATCATTGTGCTTTGGGGCATGGATGGTTTTGGAAAAGCCTAGCTCAGCTAGCTCTTCCTGGCATCTGACTTCATGCTGTTAGTTGTGATAAGCTCTGACATCTAGAAAGTGAGGCTGAGCTTTTAGAGATAGTGCATAGCACTGATAACTCAGAGTGTTGCACAGAGACTCAAAACCTTCAGGAGTTAATTCTTGAAAAGCAGGGGTAGTAACAGTCGTTAAGAGCTTATACACTAGATACTCACTAAAGAGAAGTAATGGAGACTAAAGACTGGACAGGACAGATTTCTGTGTGATACCTCTGGGCATAGATGTCAGTAATTCTTGCCTTTTTCTTTGATCTATTTCTATAGCAAAAAAGAAATTCCTGTGTTTAACTTTACCATCCATGAGATCCACTGTCAAAGGAACATTTGTATGTGTCCTATCTGCAAGGAACCATTTCCCAAATCTGACATGGAGACTCACATGGCTACAGAACACTGTCAGGTGAACCACCAAGTACTTAGATGTTAATAAATGGATTATACTTGCTATTGTGTAATAGCAAGTGAGCATGTTGTCACAAATAACTTACTGATTCTTGCTTCTTACCCTAGGTGACCTGCAAATGTAACAAGAAGTTGGAGAAGAGGCAGTTAAAGAAGCATGAGGTTAGTTGCCCTGCACTATGAAGGCAGTGAATTACCATGGGGCCAATTCTATTGAGATTACAGAGCCACATGCAGAGCAGAAAGCCAGTGTTGTTGAGTCTTTGTTCTCCACCAGCTCCATGCACACTGCCTCTCAAAGCCTATTTGAGACTTTGTTTGCTGCCAGATTTGACTGCATGGCTGCTGTGCTTTATGCTCAAGCCTCAGAGCCTTTTTCCCTTTGGAACCGAGTCATTTCTCCTCGGGTTTATTGGCAGGCTCACTTGAGTGCTAAACCAAGCCTGGGATTGCCAGTGTGGTACGACCTCTAGCACACAGCCTGCCTTACATCTTATAATTTCATTTTGACTTCTTGATCACTTGGATGACATGCTGTTTATACCCAAAGAAATTCTCAGAGAGCATTTGATGAGAGAATATCATTTGGTCCCTAGTTGAGATAAAATTGGCTGTAGTTGAATGAGTATGTGTGTGTGTATATATATACATGTATATACATATATATATTTTTTTTTTTTGAATGAGCCTATTCACCAGTTAAAAATCCCAGCAACTGTTTAGTTGGTGGTCATGCAAGAGTGTGCGTATGTATGTAAACATTCATCAAGGTATGCACTTATGATTTGTGCATTTCATTCTATGTATCTAAAAAAACTATTAACTTATTAATTTATAATTTTAAAAGGTGATTCATATTCAATGTAGAAAACTTGGAAAATATAAAAAGAAAGAAAGAACTACTCATGACCCCACAACTCAGAGATAAACATCTCATAAATAATTTAGCACTCTTACTGTCATTATTTTTTCTAAGCATTTGACTTACGTTTTACTAGGCCTCACCAGCGAAAGGGGGGTTATGATTAAGGTCATATTAACAATAATAATAAGTATTTCTTTGGCTCTTAACATCTACTTGCTGCATAAAACAACTCCAATCAATTGTCCCCCTCTTCTCCTTTTTCTCCCAGCTGTTTCTGGGAGTCATATGGTGATAACACCAATCATTATAAAGGTACAAGTACAAAGTATTTCCTAACATTCCTGCAAGTCAGGCTATGACAGTTGTAGACCACAGATTAAAGAGTTAAAAAAAATTCTTTAAAAAAAAATGTTGACACTTTATTTGCTGTTCTTGTGAGTTACTAACAATTTTTAGGGTTGTTAACAAAGTACTTTTATATTATGTGGTGTGTGCCAGCAATTATTTGCTCTTGCTTTTGAGTAACTTAAATCAGTGGCATTTATCTGATAAAAAACTTTTCTTTAAAAAAACATCTTTCTGAATTGATATTATAGCTACATGGTATATAATTTTAAAGCCACAAAAGCGTATATATAAAAATTATCTCTCTTCCACCCCTATTCCTAAGCACTCTTTGTCAGTTTCTTATGTTTTCTGTAAGAGATATTCCATGCATATACAAACAATGTGAAAAATGTTTGAAGTATCATTTAGAATAAAACTTGGGTTTAATTTGTATGAAAAGAAATTTTGCTCTTTGACACAGTGGTTATAAAGTGTCTAAACTTTAGAAGTGATGTTATATGAAAGTTCTGAGTTTAAGTTCCCAAGTTTTCGAATGTCCATATCATAGTAACATATTCTTTCATATCTTTTTAAAGAAATATTAATTATTTAGTGCTTTAGTGGCAATTTCAAATTAAGTATAAAAGTTTTGTCCTTCATCTGCTTAATACATTCACATTCTTGGGGTCATCTTCATTGGTGATTCTTGACTTATTTGGTCAATTTAAAGCCAGTGCTGGACTTCCCTGGTGGCGCAGTGGTTAAGAATTCGCCTGTCAATGCAGGGGACATGGGTTTGGGCCCTGTTCCAGGAAGATCCCACATGCCGTGGAGCAACTAAGCCTGTGCGCCACAGCTACTGAGCCTGCGCTCTAGAGCCCGTGAGCCACAACTACTGAGCCCACGTGCTGTAACTACTGAAGCCTGAGTGCCTAGAGCCCGTGCTCCGCAACAAGGGAAGCCACCACAATGAGAGGCCCGCGCATTGCAACAGGGAGTGGCCCCCGGTCGCCACAGCTAGAGAAAGCCCACACACAGCAACAAAATCCCAACGCAGCCAAAAATAAAATAAATTAATTAAAAAAAAAAAGCCAGTGCTGTATACAAATGTGCAGATTTGAAAAATCAGTGTCTTTCTAAAGGACAAACCCTTTTCTTCATTGCCAGGTACTTAAATCGGAGTAGTAAGGGGAAATTGGTCTGGGGGAGCTTTGACAAGCATATATGAATTGCTGTGCTTTTGCTATTTGCTCCTTGGCTTCTCTGGCTGATTTTGGGTTACTTTGTAATGTGTGCACAAAATGATGGTAGGGTGGCTGAGTGAGTAGATTCCTTATAAGACTTTCTTTTCCTTTGTAGAACTTGGTGGCAGGACAAAGAGGGAAGGGGTGACTCTTAAATACATAGAAAACCATGGCAGGCAAAGCTAGGGTTGGAAGAGAATATTTTTGTAAATACTTTTTACTTTCCTTGCCCTGTACTTTATAAAACATGGCCTCTCTTAGATTCACATATTAACTGCCTCATTACTCTGTTTTGCAGGAGACTGAGTGTCCTCTACGACTTGCCCTTTGCCAGCACTGTGATTTGGAACTTTCTGTTCTCAAACTGAAAGACCATGAAGATTACTGTGGTGCCCGGACAGAGTTATGTGGCAACTGTGGGCGCAATGTCCTGGTGAAAGATCTGAAGACTCACCCTGAAGTTTGTGGGAGAGATGTGGAGGAAAAGAGAGATGAGGTTGCCATGCCGCCTAATGCATATGATGATTCTTGGGGTCAAGATGGTATCTGGATTGCATCCCAACTCAGACAAATTGAGGCTCTGGACCCACCCATGAGGCTCCCTCGAAGGCCCCTGAGAGCCTTTGAATCAGAACTTTTCCAAAGTAGAACCACCAACCAAAGGAGCATGACAGCCCAGTTTCCAATTCAGAATAATCTATGTGAGTTGTGTTTGGGATTAGAAAACTGGAATGGTATCAGATCTTAGGGCTGGTGGGAACAGGGCTTTGGAGCCAAATAGATCTTAATTATAGAAACCTGATTGTAGCTGGGTAACATAAGGAAGAATACTTAACTATCCTATAGATTGGAATAACAGAACCTCTTTGCTATTGGATTTTTGTTGGATGACAGTTAGGGTTGATGGATGACAATGCTGTTAATAGCTGACACTTACTGAGTATACCCTGTGTGCTTAAAGGCATTTACAAAGTGCTTTAGATGTATTAACTCATTTAGTTCTCACAACAGTTTTATGAGGGTGGGTCAGTGGTAGAGCTGGGATTTGAATTCAGGCAATCTGACCCCATGCTTTAAGCCATCCTGCTATAATGCAGAAAATACATATAAAATGCCTAGCACAGTGCCTATCTCATAGTTATAGCTCATTAATATTGTTTATTAATAAAAGAATAATGAAGCTTTTATCATGGCAGACTTAACATTTGGAGTCCCATGAGCACTGAAGGGCTGGGCCTCTTTTGTTCCTGCACAGATTCCTATAAACCTTGAATATTTGCTAGGCATGGACTTGAACTAAGGGATGGCACCATCTTTAACGTTTCTTGAATACTGGCTTTTTTTTTCTTCCCCAGTGGAAGAACAAGAAAGGCAGGAAAGGAATAGAAGCCGACAGACCCTCAAAGAGGGTGGTGAAGACAGTGCAAACTTGGATTTCATGTTGGCCCTAAGTCTGCAAAATGAAGGCCGGGCCCCCAGCTTGGCAGAGCAGGACTTCTGGAGGGTCATATGTGAGGCAGACCAGTCCCATGAAGGTCCCGGTGCTCTGAATGACATAAGGGGTATGTTTGTTTACTCTACACTAGCCTCTGTCTCTACAGTTTTTTAAAGTCTTACACTAAACAATTTATATAAAATTGAAAGTTTTTCATGAGATAGAATTTTTTTTAAATTTTGTTCATTTGCTTTTCCCAACTCTTATTTATTTATTCATTCATTAATTTAGTCATTTACTTATTTATTCATTCATTCTTGCATGCATGCTGCACCAGGTGTTAGTTGTGGCACGTGGGATCTTTAGTTGCGGCATGTGGGATCTAGTTCCCTGACCAGGGATAGAACCCAGGCCCCTGCATTGAGAGCGCAGAGTCTTAACCACTGGACCACCAGGGAAGTCCCTGTCATATCTTTAAACATGTTAAAAATACTTGTTTTCTATTGTGTCTGAAAATATACCTAAAGCCTATTTTTTGCTATTTGCTATTTCTACTGACTCTCAACGGTGGCTTGCTGCTTCCCTCTGCGTGTGTGCGTGTGTGCGTGCGTGTGTGCGTGTGTGCGTGCGTGTGTTTTAACGTTAAGTTTTCTGGTGTGTTCCTCTGAGGGTATTTATATATGTTTCTAGCAGGCTCCTGGGGATACTACTGACTGGAATAATTTTAAATTGAAGTTTTGGCCTGGGCTTCTTAAAACCATAAATGTGAATTTTGTAAAAACATAAATGTAGATTCTCTACTCAAACCCACTTAAAGGCCCAACCCTGGTTACTGTTCCTTAGTAGAGATTTTTCTCTCTTCTATGTAGAGCCAAAACTTAGTTAGGCAAGTTTCCTTACCTCCTCGCATCGTTCACCCTCCCTTGTTCAACAGTCTGACTGAGGCTGTTGTGTTTTGGGATGCCTGGGATTAAAATTACTCTTATTTATTGGGGTTGGCCAAAAAGTTCTTTTGGGTTTTTGTAACATCTTATGGAAAAACCTGAACGACCTTTTTGGCCAACCCAATATTTTCTCATTTAAGTTACTTTTATTCAGCATCTTTTGTTTATATTTTGTACTGGGAGGGTTTTTCTTCTCAGGATATTTGTCTTCCAGTAATATCCAAGCCTCAGTTTCTTCATCTGTAAAATGAGGGTCATGTGGATCTACTTCATAACATTTTTCCTGAGGATTGAAATAATGCACAGGAGGTTTTTAGATTACTGACTAGGGTTATGACACATTTAAATTTCTTCCTTAATTGGAGTAGTGGGTAAACTACTACTTTACTGCTTCTCAGGAAATGGTGACAAGTAAATCTCTTTCTGTAGTGCAGGTTTTTTGCTTAGGGTTTGTCTCTTAAATAGTTGCCCTTCAAGGATTTTCAGCCCCACAAATTGCTATGTCTAAGAAATTGCAAAGGAAATCAGACTTTCCTATCAAACCCCCCAGGGGGGATAAAAGGTAGAATCAGGTTTGTTTTTGTTCGAGTCTGACTGTGTGGCCTGATACCTAGGTGCAGCTGATGAGACCATGTTGCCTTGTGAATTTTGTGAGGAGCTCTACCCAGAGGAACTGCTGATTGACCATCAGGTGTGTTGTGAATTACCTGAGGGCTTTAAGCTTTAGGGAGGAATGTGTGCAGGCCCTATTGGTGTTGCAGGCCACACGAGATCTTGAGCAAACTATTTTAATACAACTCCTGTGATAGGAGTAGCAACTGTGTTTTTAACCCTGGGGTGACTGACATGTGGGCATGAGAACTCAGCCTCATTCCCTCTTGGGCAAAGTAACATTTACACCAGCAGGCCCAGTTGCTGACTCCGTTCTGTGGTGATAGTGTACATCTCTACTGACCATCTTGTAATCTGGTCTCATCTCATGGTACATTTGATTTATTGGAGCCATACTGAAGTCCTTGCGGTTCCCGGGAGGGTCAGGGATCTGTTTTGCACTTTACTTTTCTGCCAGCTACCCCACTTCCTTAATACACCCCTCACTCATAGACTCAATTCAGACATGAATTTCAGGAAACCATCCTGTGGAACGCTCTGAAGGCTAGGCCAGAGGTCCCACCTGCATGCTCCCCGCAAGTCCTGTGCCCACAGCTCTCTTAGCCTGTTACCCTCACCCTGTGGTGTCATCTTGCTGATCCCCTGTTGGTCTGCACCACTCGGCTGAGTTCCTTGAGAACAGGTTCTGGGTTTTCTTAGTTTCTGGAATCTCTTAATGCCTGGTATATGAAAGGTGTCAGGTATTTTGAATGATTGAAGGTTCTTGTGCTATTTAGGAATGATTAGAGAGTAGCCTTTGTGTTTGAAGAGTGGCTCCACTGATGGAGGGAGCCACTTTTCCCCTCAACACTTACTGTCTGATTTGGGTTGGCCTAGTCTGGCACTTCCATAGCTGTTAAGTAGTCCCTGTGCTCTGGGTGGAACATGCATTCCCCCCTTAAGTGGAACAATACAGCATCTGAATGCATCTAGTATTTGGTTTGGGAGTAGCATGAGAAAATCCATTAATAGGGATAACAAAGAATATTTGGGCCTCTCTTACTGTATGACTGGGAAAAATCTTGAATCTTTTCAAATTAATTTAAAAAGAATAATCACATAAACACAGTAAAAAAAATTAAAACAGTACAGAAATGTTTAAAATAAAAGCAAAGTGAGTGTTCCATCTGTGTTCCTCTGACCCTTTTTAGTCCCTCTCCCCAATATTAAACATTATTAAAATTTTGTGACTTCTGGAAAATATTTTCAGAATTTAGTTTGTTCCTTAACCTCTGCTTTTTTTTTTTTTTTAACCTATGTTTTTTGAGACAGACAAGTTGTAACCCTTCATGTGCCTTACCTCCGATCAGTGTGGGCAATGCTTCTCCCAAAGGGGTGGAGGACCCTGATGTCATTTTCCAGAAGTTGATGCAGCAGGCTGCAAGTAACCAGTTAGACTCTTTGATGGGCCTGAGCAGTTCACCTCCTGTGGAGGACAGCATCATCATCCCCTGTGAATTCTGTGGGGTCCAGCTGGAAGAGGAGGTGCTATTCCATCACCAGGTAAGAACACTTGGAGGACCTGTCCACTTCTTCCATCCTGTTGATCCTCTGAGTGAACCTGAGGCTTTTAGAGCCAAGAATGCCTCTTTGGCCTTTAAGTTGTGTGCATACCTGATCTGGCTACCGGCCATGTCCTGTTTTGTGAGCTGTCTGAGGTATAAAGTACCTCAGGCCTTTGGACTTTCTCTGCCTTCTGACAGTGGAAACCATCCCATCACTAGCTGTGGCCCAAGGAGCCAGGATTCCATTTAAGTAGGCATGGAGGACTTACCAGAGGGTTTAGAAAAGCATTTCCCTGAGGTCATCGACAATTACTACTTTTGACTAGGTGGGTTCTTCCTGTTGGGGTGGCACTTGTGTCTTGCATTCCAGGAGACTGGGATCTAATTCTAGCTTTGCCATATGGTTGGCCTAAGATAGGTCCCATTCCCTCACTGGGGACATCTGTAAATGAAGGAGTTTAACTAGGTAATCTGAAGTCCTTTTTCAGCTTTTGCAGTCCAGGATGCCAGCATCTTAGTGGAAGATAACGTTTTCTGCCCCATCTTGTTTGTTGTGGGAGCTAACACTGAAGGTATTTCAGGGGCATTTCTGTAATCAATGCCCTATAGCTAGCTGTTGCTAGAACACCACACATTTCATTTCTGTAATAAAGACTTTTGCCTTTGGATCAAGCAGTAGATAAGTCACTGCTTTTTGTCTCCTTGGGAGACTACAAAATAAGCATTGGTGCAAATACTTTGGTCAAAATGTAGACATGCTTTTCTGAGCTCCTAAGACCAGCCCTTCTTTCATCCCTGCACAAATCAGAGAGTGCTTCTGTCAGTGCTAGTTGGAATGATTGCTCTGTTCCAGGTGTGCTTCCTCTTAGTCCCAGGCCCTTCCTCTCAGTGGTTGTCAAAGTCATCCTGTCCCATCGACATCCCCCCCTCTGCCAGCCTCCCCATAAGGTGTGTTCACCCAACCTGCTGTTCCTTCCTCTCCTCCCACTGCTCCCTCTCCGAGGAATGACTCAGTCCAGAGGTACTAATTCTGGTTTTTCTTGTTAGGACCAGTGTGACCAACGCCCAGCTACAGCAAACAACCACATGTCGGAGGGGATTCCTAGTCAGGATCTCCAGCCTCGACAGACTTCACCAGAGCTACCCAAGAGGCGTGTCAGACACCAGGGTATTAGCCAGGGCTGAGCCAAGGCTGCAGGTCTGCTGCTGCCGTGGGCCTGCTTCCCACTTCTCATCTGCTACTCTAAAATGGGTTTTATCTTCATCCCAAATTAACAAGCACAGTACGAGCTCACTGGGGACTCCCTTGGGGCTAGCTGTGGTCCTGTGTTAGACTCAGGTGTCTCGGGTGTGTAGCTTTATAGGGTAATGGCTTTGGGGACAGCCATGAGCTATGCATATCAGTCAGTGCTTATTCAGCCGCTGGTCCCTGTCAGTACACTTAGTGGATGATTGGAAGATAATTTTCAGCCTTACTGTGGCTGCCCTGGGCCCCTGCTTCTAGTTGAAATATGCTCAACTAGAGTAGGGTAATCAAACTTATTATCAGTATTCTTATTATGTAATAGTCTCACAACTAGGCAAGTAAAATTGCTTTTGAAACCCAGTTGCCATTAGAAGCCCAAAGCCAATTAGAAATGATTCTTCAAAGTTTGCTTGTGCACCATTGTTGACTAGTTAGTGAGGACTTAGGCGGTAAGTGTACAGTGTGGATTAATGTTCCCAACCCTGTCCTGGAGACATGGTTTCAGCATCCTTTAGGGGCGAGGCAGTCATCTTTTATCCAGCATCTTTTGTTCCTGCTCCGAATCCAGCACTAATAGCAAGAGCAGCCTTTTCCCTAAAGCTGGTGCTCTTTTCTCTTCTCAGGAGACCTGTCTTCTGGTTACATGGATGATATCAAGCAGGAAATGGCCAAAGGGCCCACCTATCCTCTCCCTGCCAGCAGACCCACTAACAATATGACGTCTACTTCTAACCACCTGACAACATCCACATCAGGCCCCAGACCTGGGTGCCAGCCCAGCCCTCCTCGTGCTCTGAAGCTCAACAACTTAGACAGCCAGGGCATCCAGGGGCACAATCGAAACAGCCATAATGGGGCCCTGGCTCCTGGGCACGTTCCAGTGGTTCACTCCGCTCAAAGTCTCTACCCAGAAAACCTTGTGCCCTCTTTCCCCCGTGGGCCTTCAGGGAGATATGGAACAAGGTGAGAATCAGTAGCCTGGGAGTGGAGCTTGTGGGTGGCTCAGGAGAACGTGGAAGTGTGGACTTCGCTTGTATCATGGCCTGATTCAAAATGTTCCTTTGCTCTGTGTGGTTTGTTTTTTTTTTTGCGGTACACGGGCCTCTCACTGCTGTGGCCTCTCCCGTTGTGGAGCACAGGCTCTGGACGCGCAGGCTCAGTGGCCACGGCTCACGGGCCCAGCCGCTCCACGGCATGTGGGATCTTCCCGGACCGGGGCACGAACCCGTGTCCCCCGCATCGGCAGGCGGACTCTCAACCACTGCGCCACCAGGGAAGCCCCTGTGTGGTTTTTTATTCATTAGTTTTATCTGCTACTGGAGAGCTGCTTTTGTCTGGTTCCAGCTGTTCTGTTCTGAGTTTTCTGACTTTTGCTCGGGGCATCTCGGGAACTAGTTTCCAATCCTTCTCTTTCAATGGCAGGAGTGAAGGTGGCAGGAACCCCCGGGTCACCCCCACGACCGCCAGCTACCGCAGCAGAACTGCAAAGGTGAGCAGGATCCAGCCCAGAATGCTCATTGAGGACTCAGAAATGGGGGGGCTGGTATGGTTCTTGAAGTCAGAAGCAGCTGGGCAACAGGCCGGTTGTGGCTGAGGACTGTTCTTTTGCTTTTGATGAGGAGGCTTCCATAGAAGCCTGACATTTCTGGCGCTCTTCAGGAGGAGTGCTGCTTTCTTACTTTCTATGTAAACTTCGTCTGTGTTCTATTGTTCAACAGGCAAAACCCTCCAAGCAGCAGGGAGCTGGGGATGCAGAGGAGGAAGAGGAAGAGGAGTAACAGTGTCTGCAGGGAACTTGCGCATCGGTTCCATCTTTCCTGCACAACTTGCCATGGTGCAGCCCCGCCCCTTGGGCTCTGTGGGTAGGGGCCATCTGACAGATGTAACTTTTTCTAGGCTATGGCCATTTTGTGTCTTTTGAGATTGTGCTGTGGGAGTTTGGGGGTTTGAGGGAGGGTTAGCAGGGAGGCTGTTGAGAATGTTTCAGCTTTAGCTGCTGCCTTTTGGCAGCATAAGTTATGGCCTCTCGGCCCACCAGGGCTTCATCTTTTGACATGCTGTCACCACTGCTTCATGGTGCTGTGTGGTCCTGGTGAAAAGAGGGAGGGTTCTGGAAACCTGGTCCCCACCAGTGAGGTGATACGCCTCCTGTGGTGGCCTAAATTGGGGAACTTTTGGATATCTTCTCCTGTGTACTGCCCATCCTCACTCTAGAATTTGGGCCTCTGGTGTGCGTGGAGGAGCTTTGGTAAAGTGTTCAGGCCAGTTGCAATATGTGTTAGGAACGAGGTTTGGAGATGAGTTGAGCCACAGGTGAGCGGACTATGTACAGGCTTTGTTTTAATCTGCTTCTTTGGCATTTGGCATCACTGCCTTCTGTTTCTGATGGGGAGCATGGCTCCTTTGCCTTCACTGCCTTCTGATGGGAAAGGCCGGGGGCTCCCTGTCCCCTCCAGGGCCATGCTGGGCTCTGCGCTAATCAGGAGTGAGGCCTAAGCTCATGGCTTGCTCTGAAAACCAAGTATCAGAGCCCCCTCCCCCTCTTTTTATTTTACTGTTATTATTATTATTATAATTATTAACATCCTTGTGATAGAAATAAAGTTTGTACTTGGAGTTCAGCTGAGTCTTGTGGTTCCTTCTCCTGTGTGCTCTTTGGAGACCTTAGGGAGAGTGGACTGGAGTCCACTCTGAAGAATGGGGGAAGGTGAGCAGAGCTAGGTTTTCTCTGTGCTTCTTGGAACCCCAGCAGATCCAGCATCATCCTTCTCAGAGTGCCAGACATTCAAGGTATAGTTTTCTCTTTTACTGGAGTTGGAGGAAACTGACAGGTGGCTGCAGCTCTGGGGATGATTTGGGGTGGGCTGGGGGCTGCCTCCAGCTGAAGAGAGGAAGGCAGATTCCTCAGAAGCCTCAGTCCTGAGAGTTGTTGAACCTTAGCAGCATTATTCATTACCCCTCAGCACCTCATACTTTGCCCTGGACCATCTAGTACCTTAGGTCATTTTGAGCTCATTTGTTTTCAACAACCTAGTGGGGGTGGGAAAGGTAGGAAGAATTGCCCCAATTTCTTATGTGGAAAGGAGTGACTTGCATAGGCTATGCAGCTAATTCATGACAGCTGGGACTTGAATCCAGGTCTGAATTATACTGAGATAAAGAAAAAGGGGGACTTCCCTGGTCGTCCAGGGATTAAGACTCCATGCTTCCATTGCAGTGGGTGTAGGTTCAAAAAGGGATGGAACCCAGGCTCATGGCAGTGAAATCGCCAAGTCCCAACCACTGGACCGCCAGGGAATTCCCTATTTATTTCCTCTTCCTGAACTTTGATGGTTTGTGTCTTTCAAGGAATCTGTCCATTTCAATAAGTTGTTTAACTTATTAACATAAGGTATTCATAATATTCCCTTATTATTTAAAAAATATCTGTAAAGTTTGTAGTGATGTCACCTCTTTAATTTCGTTTGTTGATAATTTGTGTCTTTTCTCTTTTCCTAATGTGTTTGGCTAGAGCAGGGATGTCCAAATTTTTCTTTGATAAAAGCCAAATAGTAAATATTTAAGGTTTTGCAGGCTATACTGTGTGTATTTCAACTACAGTAAGCCCCCTACATACCAACCTTCAAGTTGCGAACTTTCAAAGATGCAAACGTGAGTTTGCATGTCCAGTCATGTAAGTTAGTTCATGTGTCTGGTGTACATTGTCACGTGTGTCCATCGTCTACAAGTGGCTGTGTTTCTGTGTACTGTACAGTACTGTATAGAGTACAGTAGTACAGTATCTTTATTTCAAGCCCAGGATGTCTAGAAGCAAGCGTAAAAGCAGCGGTAATGTAGCTGCTACTGCTAAGACGCGCAAGGAATTGGAGGCCCAGAGAAAGGACGAAGAGAGACAAGAGGAAGAAGAAGTAAATGAAGAACCGAAGAGATTCACGACACAGGAAATGGCAAGGGAATTTTCTTTTTCTGAGGAGGCACTGTTAGTTTTTGAGGCACAGGAACCGAATGTAGAACGGTACACGAAGGTTACAGCAGCCATTCAAAATGCAATCCAGTGCTACCGTGTCACCTATGATGAGAAAAAAAGGAGCTAGACATGACTGGATTGTTTTCTCAGGAGGGTAGATAGAATTGAATCCAGCAAGGAACCAGAACCTGTGCAATCAACGTCAGGCATGAGTGAAATAGCAGCTTGCCCTACGTCTCCTATTGCTGGCAATCCTTCAGCTCTACCGTCTCCCACCTCCTCTCCCTCCTCCAGTCAGTAACTTTTCTTGCCTGTTCCCTCGATGCCAGCCTCTGTATGCCAGCTGTTGCACTGTATTACTGTACTTTTCAAGGCACTGTACTGTAAGATTAAAAATGTTTTCTTTATTGTGGGTTTTTTTATGTATTATTTGTGTGAAAAATATTATAAACCTATTACAGTACAGTACTATATAGCCGATTGTGTTAGTTGGGTACCTAGGCTAACTTTTGTTGCACCTACGAACTCACTCTCGGAATGGAACTCATTCATTTGTACGGAACTTATTGTACTCAACAACGCTGTTATAGAGTGAACACAGCCATGGACAATACACAAATGAATGGGTGAATAAAACTTTATTTACAAAAGCAGGTAGCTGGATTATGGGCCATAGCAGGGCAACTACTGGGTTAGAGATTTATCAACTATATTGATCTCAGAAAATCAACTTTGATTCCATTGATTTCCTTTACTGTTTTTCTGCTTCCATTTCATTGATTTCCTATTCTGATTTTTATCACTCCCTTTCTTTTGCTTACTTTGAGCTTAATTTTTTCTTTACCTAGTTTCTTAAGGTCAAAGTTGAGGTCACTGATTTGAGATCTGACTTCTTTTTTAATATAACTGTTAAGTGCTTTACCTGCATCTCACAAACTTTTGATGTGTCTTTTCATTTCATTCAGTTTAAAGAACTTTGATTTCTTCTTTGACTTATGGGCTATTTATTAGTGTGTAATCTAGTTTCCAAATATTGGATGTTTTCCAGATTTGTTTTTGTTACTGTTTTTAATTTCACTGTGGTCAGAGAACATACTCTGTATGACTTGAATCTTTTAAAATTTATTGAGACTTCTTGTGTCCGTAGAATATTCTCCAGGCCATGATTGTTCTGTATGTATTTGAAAAGAATGTGCATTCTGTTTTGGTTGGATGAATGTTATATAAATGGCAGGTGGGTCAACAGTGGTTGATAGTGTTTTTCAAGCCTTTATATACTTACTGATTTTCTGTTTACTTGTTCTATATATTATTGAGTAGGAAATCTCTTACTATAATTGAGGATTGTCTGTTTTTCTTATAGTTCTATAATTTCTGTTCCATTATTTTCAAGTCCTGTTATTACATGTGTAAATACTTATGATAGTTGTGCCTTTGTTTAATTGGCCCCTTTATTATTATGAAATGACATTCTGTATTCTTCGTAATATTTGCTGTGAAGTACACTTTGATATTAATATAGCAATCTTAATAATATTAACAGTCCTTAGCCTTAGTGTTAGCACAGTACATCTTTTCCATCCTTTTATTTTTATTCCTATTTGTATCTATATATTTAAAGTGGGTTTCTCAAAGATGGCATATAGTTGGGGTTTTTTTCATTGTTTTTTGTCTTGGTTTTGGGTCCATTCAGACAATCTTTTAATTGAGGTGTATAGGCCATTTACATTTAGTGTGATTATTGATATGATTGGGTTTAAATATATAATTTTCTCTTTTTTTTTCTCTTTTTCTGCTTTCTTTTGGATACTTTTTATAATTCCACTGTACCTCTTTTGTTGACTTATTAGTTATTACTGTTTATTGTATTATTTAAGTAGTTGTTTTTTTGTGGTACGCGGGCCTCTCACTGCTGTGGCCTCTCCTGTTGCGGAGCACAGGCTCAGCAGCCATGGCTCACGGGCCCAGCCGCCCCGCGGCATGTGGGATCCTCCCGGACCAGGGCACGAACCCGAGTCCCCTGCATCGGCAGGCGGACTCTCAACCACTGCGCCACCAGGGAAGCCCTAAGTAGTTGTTTTAGGGTTTATGGTATACACTTTTTTTGGCCACGCCGCATGGCATGTGGGAATCTCTGTTCCCCAACCAGGGATCAAACCTGTGCCGCTGACAGTGGAGGCCTGGAGTCTTAACCACTGGACCACCAGGGAAGTCCCATAGGGTTTATAATATGCAGTTTTAACTTTTCAGTCTACCTTCAAGTGATATTATGCCATTTCATGTTTGATATTACAACAGCATATTTCATTTCTCTCCTCCCAGGCTTTGAGCTATTGTCATAGTTATTTCTGCCTTTGTTACAAATCCTCAATATACTGTTGTTTTCTTTATAAACAGTCACTTATCTTTTAAAGAGATTTAAATAGGAAAAGTATCTTTGGCAGTTCACTGGCAGTCCAGTGGTTAGGACTCAGCGCTTTCACTGCCATGGCCCCAGGTTCAATCCCTGGTTGGGGAACTAAGATCCTGCAAGCCGTGCAGTGTGGCCAAAATAAATAAATAAATAATAATTTAAACAGAAGGTTATTCCCATATAGATTTTTGGTTTGCAGTTACCATGAGGTTTTGATATAGCAGTCTATATATATACAAGATTGTTTTAAGTTGCTGGTTTTTTAATTTGAAATGCGTTTCCAATATCCTGAATTTGTACTCTCCTCTCGATTGCTGGTTTTCAAATCATATTTGTGTGTGGATGATTTTCTACCTTTACTGTATGTTTGCCTTTACCGGTGAGCTTTCCCATTCGTG